ACAGTTAAACCCCCGATTAAAGGTGCCGACTAATCATAATTCCGTTGCAGCCGCATTAAAGAAGCGTGTAAGCAAAAGGCGCCGTGCGACAAAAGAAAGTCCTAATTACAAAAATTCCTAAATTCCTAACTAATGCGAAAAAGCAAAAGTACAGGTTCCAAAAGGAAAGTCCAAAATTCCGAGAGTCGTCGGGGCTCGACAAAATTCGAAAAAGAATTAAATAAGAAAATTCAAAAAGAACGAAGCAAATTCCCGCGCGATGTCCGCGCCTAAAAGTTCCGAAACCGAACCAAAAAGAAATGACGTCAACATTTATTAATCGCGCGCTTGGCGTCGCGCCAGCCCTCCGACCAATTAATCACCCGTCCCGGGACACACCCAACTCCAAACTCAGCCATCCGAAAAGAATCGACGCAAAAGATGAAGAAGCGAGGGTACTGATGCAATTTCCCACCGATCCCGATCTCCCGTAATTGGCCCAACCCTCCCAGCTTAGGACCCCTCATTGCAATCGCGCAGAAAGTCACGCGCTACAGAAAGTGGTTCGTCATATATGTGACGCTCAGGGGGTTCCAATATTAGCAAGCTCCTGCTTGCTTCTTGACACGTCTCGATTTCTCTAATCGATCGACACGTGGCGCTCTTCTCTTTATGCCACTTACAGTTCGAATGAGTGTGCAGTGAATGTCGTCCAATGTGGCAATACAGCTCTAACACTAATTCCTCAGGGGGGGCCATCAACAATCCAAGGAGGGGATTACACGTGTCGTCGTCATGACGAGTGCCCATCAGTCATACATTAGCGAGCGCCGGGGAGGGGAAAGGGGAGACGGTACATGGAGGGGTGCCGAGGGGGAGGGTTGATGGGTAGCGGGAGGAAGGAAACTCTCCATTCCGGCCACCGTCTCCGGAAGTTCCTGATAGCGAACGATCCGGTGGAAGTGGGGGAATCGGCTGCCCGTGTGGAGAGACGTGAGATATTTGGGATAGAGGGTGGTAAAGGTTCGGAAAAGGGCCGCGCGGAGGTGATTGTGGTTCTCGCATGCGGGGATAGTCCCCGTAATCATGCAGTATACCTCGATCATATTGTGGTCTCGCCACGCGGTACTAAGGAAAAGGATATGAAGACAGAAGACAGGGAGGGCGCATCGAGTGGAAGGGTGGGGATGAACAATGACAGCGAGGCAGGTAGTGTAGAAAAAGCGGAAGGTATCGATGGGGAAGGGATTGCCGGGGAAGGTGACGCGAGTAGAAATCTGGTGGAAAGAGAGGTGGTCAAGGGGACGGCGGGATAACGACCGGGGACGAAGCCCGATGCCCCGCATCGGTACGTGGACGAGTTGGTGGGCGGTCAACGGCGGAGGGGGACGGGGATCGGCTTCGTCGCCGTCTTGCTGGTGCGGCCGAAGTCTCGGCAACTGTCTCTCCATCCTCGGGCTTAGGTGGCTCCGGATCTCGGGCCGGATCGTCGGTGCGCGACTGACCGGCTGCGCTGGCGAATTCCAACTGCCGCTTCCCACGATCTCTTCCCTCTTCTGCACCTGGGCCTACGCCCAAGCCTCGTCACGCACTTCCTCCTCGAATCCTTCCCACTCCGACTCTTCCAGCTCCTTCTGACCTTCTTCTTCTTCGTCGCCTTGTTCTTCTTCCTCCTCCTCCTCACTTTGCTCGCCTTCGCTGTGCTAACTCCCCTCTTCGGGAGTTTCTTCTTCGTTGGCCTCTTCTTCGGCTTCTTTTTCTTCCGAGCTTTCTTCTTCTGCTTCTATCTCTTCTTCCTCGTTCTCGGAGGCCGTTCGATCCTGAAAGAAGGCGAGATCGACTATTTCGTGCGGGTCCAGATAGCCGCACCGTCACGGTGACGGTGGGTTGCGACTGCTTCCCGGTTCCTCCAAGCACACCGACCACTGGAGATATGGCGCCAAGGTCCGCGTGAGAACGTGTGGGACTGGGCTGTCGTCGCTCTGCGAGACGATCTGAAGTGGGAGATCGTCGGCCTGATGCGCAAGGGGGACCGTTAGCTCCTGCATGATCAGTTGGCGATGATCGGGCCGTACCGATCCGAAGAGGAATCCGAGCAGCTCGCCCTCGGTTTCCGTTCGCCACGCCTGGATGATAAGCAGCTCGAGGTACTCGGCCCACTGACGGTGATCCCCGTGCCGCGTCCACGTGACCTTTACTCTGACCAGGCACACCGACAGCTCGACGAAGTGTTCTCGCCAGCGCCTTTACTGCTGGGGATCAAGGAGGGGGACATCGAGTGATTCTAGACAAAAGGAGATGTGCGGATGGACTCTGGACTGCCAGAAGGTGGGAAAGAAGGAGGGGAGGTTGAAAGTGGAGATCAGGGATGGGTTCATTAACAACGGGGGAAGGGGATGAGTTCCGGGAGCACCACCGCCGGCTCGTGCTGGAAGGTTCGGATACCGTCGAGGTCGACGCCGTCCGTGGGAAAAAGGTTACCCCCGTGAGGCGCGAGCCAACGATTCCACTCTGACGCCAACTGCTGCACCCATAGCCGTAGCGACGTCTTGATAGCTGTATGCCACAGCGGGCTGATGGTGCTGATGTCGCCACTGAAGGCGACCACCGTAGACACGTCAACAGAAAAATTCCCATGAGAAATGAAAGTTGAAAAAACGTTCCATAAAAAAATAATCCTTCATATTTATAAATTATCGTTGCAGTGTTTGTCCAATTCTAAAATTTTCAATTTAATTTGATAAGTTCCCGTCTAAATATGAGCTTTCCCTTCCAACTACATCTATTTGTTCAAGATGGAATGAAAGTCTTGACGAGTTTATGAAATGTTCTAATTAGACTTTTATTCTACTACAACAAATATCGTCTAATTTAGATTGAATTAACTTATTTATGACTGAAAATCCTTACTTAGAATGGCGGTCCAATTAAAATATTTCATGAACTCATCCAAACTTTCATTCCATCTCTAGCATGCAGTTCAAATAAGAAGGGATACCTCATTTTTTGAATGAAAGTTTTCAAGTAAGACGAAACATTTTAAAATTGGAACGATATTTTTTAAGATGGAATGAAAATTTAGAATTTAGAATGTAATTTTACTCTAGAATGATTATTTAATTCTGGGAAATTTTTCTGTTGGTGGCTGATTCCAGGAGCCGATCGCCGATGAACTGCTACCGCCTCTGCCAACACAACCGCCCGGGGACTGCCTACGAAGCGAAACTCAGCGGCTGCGTACACTCCCTGGGTACAGAAGAATTGCGCAAGTCGCCGAAGGTCCGGATTGAGCCGCGGATGATGAACTTGTCGGATCGCCGAAATGTGACACCGTGGCACCAGTAGAGGATCGCCGAGAGCTCGCTCCATAAGAAAACTCATGGCGATGATCATGGGGATGGAGTAACAGAAAGAGAACGAGAAGGAGACGGAGAGACAGGCGATAAGCAATCGTCGTCCTCTTCCGCAGCGGAGGAGGAATCGAATGAAGGCGAAGATGGGGAAGGAGGAAGGGGATGAAGGTAGGACACGTGGCGGATGATCGGACGAGCCGATCGGCTGCCGGAGACCTCAGGCGCAAGCCGCACGGTGTTCACGCCGTTCGGTCCGAGCTCAATCACGAGGAATCGCCCGAAGAATCATGGCGCTAGTTTACCCTGGCGAGCACATTTCCTCACCTGCACGATATTCCCCAATTTGTACTGGGGCAGTGGATCTGCGTTCCCGTTCCGGGCCTCGTAGCTTCGGACCTGTCGGCCATGGGCCAACTCGGTCATTTTTTGGCGCTTTCGGGGTAACCTGGGGAGGGACCGTTCCATTAACTCTAAGTGCCGCTTGGCCTTGTCCCGTGCTGTGGCCCTTGTGGGACGGCGGTTGAGTGTTGATTCGTCGGGGAGGCTTGGTATCGAAATGCAAGCGACGCTATTGGTCCTTAATTGGAGGGGCTCATGCCCGTCGATTCATGGGGCGTTCCACAATGGACCGCTAGGATGTGGTCGACGACTCGGATATCGGGCCAGGGCCTCGGATCCCGTGCCGCGATGTTTCATCGCAGCGCTGTCTTTATCACCCTATTTGTGTTTTCTACTAGCCCATTGGATTGTGACATATGGGGCGCGGTATTCCGCACAACGACACCGTGTATGACCTGGTTCCTCAATACTTCCCCTCTGAATTCTGCACCGTTATCGGTCAGGATTTCTTTCGTATCCTTGTGCATCCCGAGAGAACAGATAACATACCGCACGATTTCGGCGGCTTGCCTCGTGCGACACAGATAGGCCTCGATCCATTTCGAAAAATGGTCGACAAATACCAACAGGACTCAATACTCACAGCTATTAATACCAGGGGGTACCACGATATCGGTAGTATCCATACTCACCCTTTGGAACGACCGCTCAACTACCGTTGGTATTATCGATCTTGGCGGCTGGATCTGCGCCTTGTCAGCAGCGCAAACTTGACAGTTTGCGACGAGGAATTTCACATCGTCCTGAATATTGGACCAATACCATTCGTTTTTGTTGATGGCCGACTCCGTAATCCGTACGGCAAAATGGGCAGCCGTTTCTTCGTGTGCTGTCTTCACCCAGTCGTACCTCATGAACGGATGTGGTACAACCATCCAGATCCCACTGCCGTCCGTTTTCCGTTTTTCTAACCTACCCTTTATCCATCGGTATTCCCGAGCCCTTTCATTAGCCCTCCTCCGATCTTCCTTGGTGAAATCCTGGAGGGGGTTAACTATTGAGGTGGCAATCAAAGCGACGTCGGTCCATACTTCAACCCTTCTAAATTTCCGGGTTCTTTCCAACCCTTCTGACGTGGCATCCAAAAAGTGAGCCTCGGTCGGAATCTTGTCAACTCGACACAAGGGGCATAGCCACTGTTTACTATCATTTCGATATTGGATGTACAAGCCATGGGCTCGTGCGACACACTATCGACAGTCTATCCATTCCGCATACCCTTCCCCGTTAGGACGCATGGAGACAGAATATACGCGAGAGATTGCTTCGCAAAAATAACAAAATTTATCAGGCAGGGAGAGAAGAGATGAAGAGGAGATGGGAGAAAGAGGGGTAGTGAGGTTACCTCCGTCACCCATTGCCACTGGTTTGCTTCTTGCCACGTGGGAGAACTGCCACTAGTCCGTACTTTGGCCCGTTTGCCGGTTCTGACTCTTTCCACGGAGTGATTTCCTCGCCCTTAGGCACTTTAGCGGGCCGATGCAGACGTGTCAGTCCGTCCGTGTTGCCGTGTCTTTCTATCTTCCGGTGAATGATGTCGAAGTCGTACTCCTGTAGTCGCACCGCCCAACGTCCAATCATGCCCGTGTAATTAGTGAGTTTCTTCAAAGCCAGCAAAGGCTCGTGATCCGTCACGAGGCGGAACTTCTGCGCATAGAGATACGGATGGAAGTGCAGGATTCCCCAAACTACTGCATAGCATTCGCCTTGGGGTGCTGAGTCATTCCTCCGTTCGTCTGGCACCGTTCGCGACGCGTACTCGATGACATATTCGCGACCATCGTTCCCCTTCTGTGCTAGAATAGCTGAAATAGCTTCCGGTTGCCTGTCCGTGATAAGAATGAATTGTTTCGAGGGGTCCGTTCGGATCAAAATAGGCGCTGTCGCCAGAACGTCTTTGAGGGTCGCAAAGGCCTGCACACACTCCGCGTCGCAACTGAGAGGCTGGTCCTTTCGTAACAGGTTCGTTAGTGCTCGTGCAATCGTGGCGAAGCCTTTGATGAAACGACGATAGTACGATGCCAGCCCCAAGAAGGCTCGAACTTGCGTCAACGACGTGGGAGCTGGAGCTTCTCTCACCGCCGCGACCTTTCTCGAGTCAGGCCGCAATCCTCCATGTGTCACGACGTAACCCAAGAACGAAATTTTCGAAAGGAAAAATTCGCTCTTTTCGAGTACAATCTTGAACCCAGCGTCTCTCAGCGCTCCCAACGTCCACTCAATATGTTGTGCATGTCCGTGATAGGTCTCCGAGTAGACAAGGATATCGTCCATGTATACAATCACGCAGAAGTTGATCATTCCCTGAGTTAGCCGTGTCTTGTTGACGAAGTTCTGGAACGTTATGTTCATCGCTTGCTGAAACGTGGCAGGCGCATTGCAGATCCCCATCGGACACCGAACCCACTGCCATGTGCCTTCAAACAACACGAAGGCTGTCTTTGGCCGATCTTCCTCCTTAACCAGAATGTGATGAAAGCCATGCCGAATATCAAACTTACTGAAATAATTAGCGCATCCAATCGCATCCAATCGCATCCAGCAAATCATCAATCCAGGGGAGGGGATACACATCTTTAATCGTGATTTCATTCAGTTTGCGATAATCGATGCATATGCGAATTGATCCGTTTTTCTTCGGTACTAGCACTACTGGAAATGACCATGGTCCGGTGGCGGGTTCGATCCACCCGCTTGCTTTGAATTCCCAAATTCGTTCGAGAGTCTTTTTCCGTTCTATCAGGGAGTATCGGTAGGGCTTGCAGTGGATGGGGGAATGATTTGCCGTTTGAATTCCATGTTGAATAACTAGTGACAAGCCGATATCAGTGTCTGTTACGCTAATCGCTCCCTGATATTCCGTCAGAATGTCTGCAATCAAACGATGAATCTCATCAGGTACGTACTGTGGCACGTGTAACTCAAAAAGTTGATCCCAGATTCGTACATCGATCTGCTTCGTGCTTGCTTGTTTCGCCACATCGGGCTGTGGCGTAAAGATAAACGAATGGTCCGATCGCCAGGAGAACACCATGGCCATCATCTGGGCGTCTTCCTCCCATATGGCCACGTGTCCGTCCGGGGTGATCCCATCGCAGATGTCTTGCCATGGTACAGTTTTAGTTGCGATCTTTACGCCGAGCTCGTCTGATTCAGCCTCGACGCGCCGAGGGGGTTCCAAAGAACTGGCCTCCGCCCCTAGACGTAACAGTCGTACTTCCTTTGCGGGTGTTAGTAGGGACTTTGGTAGATCTGTGATATCGCAGTAGTGCTTCTTGTCGTTGTATCGGGCGAGGAGAGGGGAAACTCCTTCATATAGGGTTTGAGGGGTTTCCAAAGAATCGACCATCCTCGAAATCCGTACGAGGGGTTCACGCAAAATCATCGCTTTGGTCCTTTGGATGTTCCGACTTGTTAGATGCATCGTTCTTGCGATCGTTCTGGGCGGCGGGTAATAAATACGCTGTCGCGTTCAGAATTTCTGGATCATTTTCGTCACTGCTATTCTTATCCCTCGATGATGGCTCATCGTCTGCGGAGTCTTCCTAAGTAATCATACGAAGAGTCCCCGCTATCATTGGCGAAACTCGTGGGACTACGTTGATGGTAGTTCGAAGAGTCAGTCTCATAGGTACAACATAGGGTTTTCCTCCCGTATTTCGGAGGATGATTGACCGTCGCTCAAAATCCAAATTCGCTCGTAATGTCACAAGAGCGGGAAAACCGAAAAGAACATCGTAGGTGTTCACATTTAATACCACAATATCTCCCAGTGCATGCACATTTCCCAATCGGAAAGCAACGTTGGTCATTCGTCCCAATGTTTTAATCTTTTCTTCGTCTACCGAAACGAGCTGGTCCTTCTCTGTAAGCATGATCAGATCGTTTTTCCTACCTGCCCTCTCAACTATTCGCAATGAGATATCCAAAACAGCAGCTCCCGAATCAATGATTGCATTGTACGGAATTCCCCATATTTCGATGTCGCATTCCGTAGATTTCCAGGGGATGGGTTTAATCCGTAGGAAATGATCGTCTTTCTGTATTAGTCCTACTCGTATTGGATCTGACGTGCCAGCCGTATTTTCATCTGGCGTGGGGCTCTTAGCCTTTACATTCGTTGTTCGGGCAAGGGCGAATCGTTTTCGATTCGCCTTACAGTGCTGTAGCATTCGCTCATTAGCTTGTTCAGAGATCGAGAGCAGGTGGCCGATCGAAAGTGGAATCCGATGGTCCAAGGCTCGGATGATGTTGAGCATATCCATTTCCCCAGTCACGAAGGTGGGTCCTCCCGGCTCCATATCTCCTGGAGAGGGTCGCCACTCCGCCACTTCTTTCTGTTAAGGTGCCGGTCTGATCGTTCCGATCATTCTGAGCCCAGGATAACCAAGCGCTACATACTGATCTAACGGGATGAGCTCAGCAGCCTCTTCCGTGGTTGCTAGCACACTTCCTACACCTTCCATTTCTTCCATGAGAGCTCCTACCTGCCCAGGTCCGTTAGCGATGGGGGCCGCTGCCATTGGTGGGATCCCGACCCGTTGTTGCGGGGGCCGGTGGGGGCAGTCGCGGGCTAGATGCCCTGGCTGATGGCATGCATAACAGACATTCAGATTGTTCGCGGCTCCCCCGAGAGCAGGCCCCGGGGCTAGCCCTTGTTGGATCGGAGGGGCACGCACTGAGATGGGCCTCATGTTTCTCATCATGGCTTCTAACCGAGCGTTATGCTCTCGCTGTTCCTTTTTGCTTTCCTGGATTAGGCTAATTAACGTCTTGGTCAGCTCGAAAATAGCAGTAGACTCATTTGTCCTTACCGGATTCTCAGTTGGTGACAGGCGTGCCGTCATTACAGGTGTTGGTATCACAGGAACGGGGACACTCGTGATCACACTCGGGGCGGGTCGTTTAGGAGCTATCTGTTCCAGATAGGTGACCGTGCCAGACACAAATCCCATATTCTCGAACTTGTTCTGCAACGCAGCCAACTCAGCTCTTGCCCTGGCGAGTTCGGACGAATCCCCTTCCTTAGGATAGTCTTCTCCTTCCAGGAAGTTCGCCGCAAACTTTCGTTCCATCTCCTCTACAGTGGCCATGATCTGTTGCAGGGTGTGATTGATGGGGGAAAACTGTTTTCGCAGCTTTGCCCTTATCGTTCGACTGCGAAGCCCATCAATAAACAAGTCTCTCCCGGCTTGCTCACCTCGCTCAGTTTTCACAAACATGCAGTAGAACCGATTTCGATACTCCGCGATAGACTAGAGAGGTTTTTGCCCCCGGGCTTTGATCATGTAGAGTGCTTGCTCTGGGTGCACATAATCAAATCGATTCAAAAAATTTCGTTCGAAGGTCGGAAGATCTACCCATACATAGGTACTAAACCAGTGATGAGCATCTCCTCCTAATCGAGCGGGAATGTTTACCTGAGCTTCATTATCGTCATACTGCTGTGCTCGGAGCGTGGACAACCATGCTCTTGCTAGATGATGCGCAAGGTCAAATAGATAAAGATCAGGTAGCGTCATGGGAGCCCGTGCTCATGGGGTGGGTTGATTAGGATTTGGTTGATTAACATTCTGCTGCGGATTCGGATTCTGTGCATTAGCGTTCATGTTGGCTGCCCGTCGATTAGCCGATCTACTTCGGGTGATGACGGGGTCGCGTCTATGCGAGTTCCGGGGTCGAGGTCGCCCTCGGTTAGCCAGATCGCCCAATTAGCGTGCTATTAATCCTAAAGCCCGGCCACGTGTCGCGCTCCGATACCAACCTCATGCCCAACGCGACTTGCTGATCGGAGTGGGATGTGGGCCTGGAAGTGCGAAAAGGGGTGTGCCAAGGATTTTTAGGAAAGTGGGGGTGGAGTCCCAGGTCAAAACTGAGATCTCTTGTGGCAGGACCGACCCTGGTCATAAGGCAAAGGGCATGCACGGGGCACTCAGGGTCGGGCGAGCCATTGGTTCCGAGGACGGCGGTTTGTGGGAAGGTCCCTTCGGGGTAGGTGGGGTTCCAATGAGTCTGGCTGTTGGGAGTTGCCTCGTGGCGCCAGTCGTCGCATGTTTGTGTTAGGCCTCCGGGTTTCCGGGGTTCTCGAATCGCCACGTCGTCGACAATTTCCACAGGGTGTACTGGGCCAGTAGGGGGCTATGGCCTTCCACGGGACGACGCCGAGTTGGTGATACGGAAGAAGAAGGCGGAAGGGAGGGAAGCTGGTGGAGATAACGACAAAGCCGGGGTGGGTGAAGTAGTGGGTGTGGTCCTGAGTGGGGAAATCAGAGCACCGGGGGTCGCTCGTGGTGGCGCAGTGAAACTCCCTAGGACACAGTCGGTTCTCGGTGAGGCAAGGGTATCTCTGTCGGAGGATTTCGTTTACCCAGGGGGTGAAGTAGTCCGGGTCGTACAACAACGACTCCGAGCTCTCTGAGCTTGTCATTATGTCATCGCAGAGCTACGAGATGCCTAAGGGCGGGTTTGTGCCGATTGCGATCACCGCATGCGAACACGTGCAGGCCACGCGAATCAAGTCGCGCTTATACGTGTTCGTACGGGATGACTCCTCCGTCGCAGACCCTGGATGGCCATGTCCAATCAGACAGTGCTTCTGCAATCGATGGTCCTTTTTGGGATTGACGATTCGACGCGCGGGGATACATGTAAATGCGCAACTCAGATCGCGTTTACACGTGTCCTCGCGCGGCGTTCGCTGGGCCAGACATCCAATTGTTTAATCACTCCGTAATTTTTGAGAATGCAAGATGCAACAACCACAACAACTCGATCAAAAGATAAGCAAAAAGGAGAACAGGATTACCGTTTGCACAAAATTCCTATCTTACTCATGAGTGCATCAAAGGCAATAAACAAGGGCAAAGGCAAGGATCCGGTAGAAAGACAAGCAGCCAAACATGGCATCCATACATCCATTCATTCAGCAACATACACACACAGTGCATATGAGATGGAAATCGCGAAGACAAGTGTGAGCAAAAACCCAAGTCTAGATTCCGAAAATAGAAACGGGCAAGTCACCCGGAGTTGAAATCAAAATTTATATACACGAGACAAAAGGGAGAAAAGATAAAAGAAGCAGCAAATCCGCGTCCGTCAACCTCAACTCTCTCTTCCTCTCTCTCCTTCTCCGATGCGGACAGTCCGTCGTCGCGCACCAACCCACGAAGCCGTCACCCCGCTTAGTTCTCCCGCACCCGTCAGGTTCGCCCGCGCCCACAATCCGTCGTGGCCCGCGTCAACCCCGCGCGTTTGGCATCAGCTCGTCGGGTCGCCCGACTCCTGCTCTACTCACCTCTTACTTCGCTCGTGTGCCGACCCTCTCTGATCGCGCAACCCCGAGCTTCCAACAGCTGGTTAAGAGAGCTAACTAATCGCGTAGCCGGAATTTATAGCGTGCATGCATGCGCGAAGAACATGAAATTATAAGGACTTAGAAGGGAGATTAGAGAGGGAGTGTCTGCGTTCTGTATGACCGGGCCGCGGCGTGGGGGACGTAACCGCTCTCCACACATCGATCCGTTCATGCAGACCGTGGCTTCCAAAAACGCAGTAAAAGAAAGAGACGAAGGGCGGGAAAGACGAAGCTCAAGAAGAAAGATACAGTTACAATGGCGCCAACCCAAAATCACAGTTACAGACCCGATTAAAGACTCCGACTAATCAGAACTCCGTTGCAGCCGCATTAAAGAAGCGCGTAAGCAAAAGGCGCCGTGTGGCAAAAGAAAGTCCTAATTACAAAATTCCTAAATTCCTAACTAATGCAAAAACGCAAAAGTACAGGTTCAGGAAGGAAAGTCCGAAATTCTGAGAGCCATCGGGGATCGACAAAATTCGAAAAAGAATTAAATAAGAAAATTCAAAAAGAACGAAGCAAAGTCCCGCGCGATGTCCGCGCCCAAAAGTTCCGAAACCGAACCAAAAGGAAATGACGTCAACATTTATTAATCGCGCGCTTGGCGGCGCGCCAGCCAGCCGACCAATCAATCACCCGTCCCGCGACACACCCAGCTCCAAACTCAGCCATCCGAAAAGAATCGACGCAAAAGACGAAGAAGCGAGGGTACTGATGCAATTTCCCACCGATCCCGATCTCCCGTAATTGGCCCAACCTTCCCAGCTTAGGACCCCTCATTGCAATCGCGCAGAAAGTCGCGCGCTACAGAAAGTGGTTCGTCACACTGCCCCTGCCTTGCACTATCACAAATCAAGAAATAGCCAGCACGGTCACATCGGTCAGCAAGCAACAAACACATTTAGGGTGACAGGCAGAACAGCCCCCCGGAAGACAGCAAATCTGGGGTGCCTTCGGATTTTCCACATCCGAGCATGCCCTCCAGACTCGGAGGGACTGGCGTCCGTGTCAGAAGATTGGCATTACGTATGAGCAGGGAACCACGAAGGCACTCGGGGGTGGAATCAGACAGCAGAGAGCAAGTGCCAGAGAAATGGCAAACCGGCAAAGTGTATACAGCATGCTTGCACTATTAGCATGACCAAATCGTCTACTCAATGGACAAAGAGTACCATCAACACAATAGAACACTGTAGTAATACACACATGACTCAGGGTTGGCTATCCTCCTAGTACGTAGCATAGGGTTGAGGCTGGCATAAAAGTTCCTTAGCACGGGATGCCGGGGGTGTCAGGAGATACTGCACCTTACCGCGGGGCCGGAACGGGCTCCAGGGATGTATGAGGGAACGGAGGATCCCCAGCTCGTTCTACCATCAACGCAATAGAACACTGTATTAATACAACATAAGGATAAGAGATTCAAAATCATAACTCAAGACTCAGGGTTGGCTATCCTCCTAGTACGTAGCATACGGTTGAGGCTGGCATAGCAGTTCCTTAGTACGGGATGTCGGGGGTGTCAGAAGATACTGCACCTTACCGTGGGGCCGGAACGGGCTCCAGGGCCACACAAGGGAACAGAGGATTCCCAGCTCACTATTATCACCACACAACTGTGCTAGATGGGAGCCACTGTGCACCCTCATGAAGACCTGTAGTAGCATGTTCATACCTAGCTCCCGAAGTCCCCAAGCAATCGTGCTTGCACGGCGTGTGCTTAAACCAGGGCTAAGCAGGGGGGTAGGTGTCTCTGCTTAGCCCGGGTGTCTGCAACCGCTGTCTGGTCAGGTCACCCCGCCAAGATGGTGATGGGTGATGGTCCCTCGTGGTTAATACTAGGGTAGTACAGGAGGGGTGGGGGTGCGCCAGGGCAAAAAGATGAGAGGAAGGGTGGGTGGGGTCTTCAGAGGGGTTCAGCTGCCCCACTGAGTGGCCGAGTACTGTGGGTGACTGCCATCGGTCTAGTATCCCACATCTACAACAACCTGGGCTTTTTTTATTGAAAAAAATGAAAAAAAAGTAAAAAGAGGAGCTGAGATCAAAGGGTGGAGGGCCCGGTTTTCGGCAGACTCGGATTGCGTACTCCAGCCTTGGGCACTGGGCCCGTTTTATTTAAAAAAAAAAAGAAAAAGGGTGGAGGTACTAGTAGGGGAATGGGAGGCTAGGCGGCCTAGTTGATCTGGAAGGTAAGCATAGGTGATAGCACCGGCCCCCCAATACTGAGACAACAAGGGCTGTTAGCTAGTAGGTAAATGGGGTGAAGCAGAACTGACAATCTGTTTCCAATCCCCTTACTAGCAGCTTGGGGACCCTGGGTATACTATCACATTACAACTTACAGTAGGCTGTAATGTAGGCAAGCACCTCAGGCTGATGGGTATTTCCACCCGCAAACTTCCTTCTTAGTCCTTTCAGCTTGCTGTCATTCCAAGTACATCTCTGTTCAAACAAACAACTACGACAACAAAGGGCTGTTTGCTGGATGGAGGGGGTGAAGCAGAACATTGCTTAGATTCCTCAGAATCTGCTAGAATCTGGTTCCAATTCCCTCAGCAGTAGCCATGAGATCTGTGCGTACTATCACACAACTTAAGCTTAATGTAGGCTGTCAGGTAGGCAAGCAACTCAGGCAACTGTGTAGTTCTACCTCCCTACATCTGCATTTCGTAGGTGATCCCTGCCGTTGGCTGTCATCAAACAAACAGCTACAATGTTCTGGGATGCTGGACCCGCTTTCCAGCAGGTGCTGCTCCCCACCATTAGATGGAGCCTCCCCGAGAGTGCTAGTGGTGCCTGTTCTTACCAGCACCCCTAGCACACAAACAAAAAGAACGCTCAATTTGGGTGAGACCTTGGCAACCCCGACCTCTGGACAACTATTATCCTCCAACATTCTGCGCAGCCCCCTCTCCAGCCTTTCTCCACCCCCCCCCTCCCCTTTCCCCTCCCCTCCAGCTCTCCTCCCCGTTCGCCACTCCCGCGCCCAAGCCTCTTGTCTCGAACCATGCTTCATCTGGTACCAAGTTCAGCGAACCTGGTAGCGTGGGTGCTTAGCCCCTTACGATGAAGTACAGTATATAAACCACCAATACTTGGCCCAGCTATCGAAGCCGAGCCTCGCAGCCCCTGCGCGCCAAGTCCTACCGAACGGCCGTCGGTCTTTTTTGTTTTCTTTTTGGCTGTGGCCTCCAGCCAATGTGGTCCGGTAGGCCGAAGCCCAAATGCCGCGGCGCGTTAACGGGGAAGCGCGGCGGCCGATAGGTGGGCCAAGTACTGGTGGTATAATGCATGAGTTCGAAGATTGTGCCTCACACTTATCTTGATCCCCTTCCCGCCTTCCTGCCATCTCTCAACCATCCACCACTGAAACCGCCCACGTATGGGAATTCCCCCCCCCCCTGAGGGCAGGAAGATTCCCGTGCCCCGCTGATAGAGGGCCAATTCCTCCACTTCTTTTTTTTCCTTTTTTTTCAGAAAAGTTTTCGAAATCCTCCTCCGACTTCCATTTATTTGCGGTATGCCCCTCTGACAGCCCACTTACCCTGTCGGAGCCCTCTGACAATGATTGAAGTTTCCGAAAACCCCTGGCGTCGTTGGGTTCTGCAATATGTTCAATATGCCCCTACCGGTACCGGTTCCAAATGGCCACAGGGCATGCTGGAAAGTTGCACCCCTCACTCACAGGGGCCTGCAGGAAACTTCAGAGGGCCCAGGGGCACGGCAGGGTAAGTCGGCCCTCGCGCCCTTGGAGGGGCATAGCGCAAATAAATGGAAGTCGGAGGGGCATTTCAAAAAATTTCGCTTTTCCCTTTTCAGAAGCTCTCTTGGCTTTGAAAAGGTTCATCTATCAAGGACGCCTGAGGCGAGATTCCACTCGCACGGATGAAGAGATACTGGCCATCTGCCGACCCTTATCTATGGAGAAGAACTCTCAAGCCACCAGTCGGATTCGTCCACTTCCACTTCCACCCTTCACGTCGCCTTTTTGGAACCCTTCATCGGTTTCCTCTATTCCTTGCATCTTTCTTCTTTTTTTTTTGAGCCTCAGTTGCGAGCCTACTACCCTAGAGGTGATAAGAGCGCCCCTAAGGTGCTCGCACCCCGTTCCCCTCCTTGCTCCTCCCTCCTCCCTCCTCCTTCCTCTCGCTGGTCAGTCGTGTTTGACTATGAATAATTTACATTTGACAGAGGGAGGATACCATCTTCTACCAACGCTCTAACCCCATCTTTGACCAATGGTCAATCCCATCTTCTACCAAGGTCAAGCCAACCTTTGACCAAGGGTCAACTCCAACTTTGACCAAGCTCCACCTTTGACCAAGGGTCTATCCCTTTTTTTTTTAAGTAAGCTATATTCTTCTCTCATCTCTCTCATCTTCTTGGTAATATGCATCTATCTCATCCTCTCGCTACGGCTAGTCTATGTATAGTACGGGGGAACACCAATATCCATCTATCTCATCTTCTCGCTAAGGGTAGTCTATGTATAGTACGGGGGAACACCAACCAACCCGGATCTCTCCCTAGCCCACGGGGTAGGTTGGCACCACAGCCGTGGTGCAAGAGCAAGGCTGTACCAGTCCAGGCATGGGTCTATCCCGTTTTGACCGACGCTCAGTTACAATTTGACTTCAAGGGTCATCCCCTCTTTGAGCAAGGGTCAGTCAATCGCATTTCTGAACCATGGGCGAATCCCATTTTGGACCGAGGGTCAATCACATTTGAGCAATACCCCTGAGCTTTGTGGCTGTCAATCACATTTGACCAATACCCCTGAGCTTTGTGGCTGTCAATGACATTTGACCAATACCCCTGAGCTTTGTGGCTGGCAATCACATTTGACCAATACCCCTGAGCTTTGTGGCTGCCGCAACCCTGCGGATTGCCAGCACAAATGCAGCCGTTCGAGGGTCGCAGCCGAAGCTTTTTCCCGTTTGCTTCAAATGACGATATGAGTTGGTCATGAAACGCTGGAGTTCTTCGTTGACTCGATCTTCCGACCAGCGGAAACACTGGATGTTCTGGACCCATTCGAAGTAGCTGACGGTCACCCCGCCACAGTTGGCGTATATGTCCGGCAGCACTTTGATGCCCCTCTTTTTGAAGATTTCATCGGCCTCCACATCTGTGGGATGATTGGCGCCTTCGCGGATGTACTTGGCGCGCACCAGCGGCGCGTTCTGCTTGTCTAGCACTCCGCCCAACGCGGCGGGAACCAAAATGTCGCACTTCTCGTACAGAAGCTCGTCCTTGTTCATCTCCTCTCCGCCGGGAAAGCCCATCACACCGCCCGTCTGTTCCACGTGCGCGACTAAGGAGGGGATGTCCAGCCCCTTCCCCTGATTATTATCCGCGCCGCTGCATCGAACACCCCCACTGAAATCGCTAACGGCCACAACTTTGGCGCCCTCCGCATGTGCCAGCTTGGCAAACCAGGACCCCACATTTCCGAACCCCTGGATTGCGCAAGCCTGCCCCTTCAACGACATCTGGTCCTCCGCAAGAAACGCATTGGCGGCGTGAACGAGTCCACGACCGGTCGCCGC